ATTCCTCGGTACTAATGATCCCAACACGATTCTTTGGAATTATTGCCTCTTTAGAAACTTTGGTCACATTTACTTCCTATTAATTTTAAACAGCTGCTTGGTCAAAAAGACACTTTTTCACAATTTATTAAATATAAGTAGGCAAATAAATATTTACCCCATCCAAAGTTGTTGATACTTTTATATTGTTTAAAGTTTTGTTATAAACATGATCCCACCTTATATTGTTTCAAAAAAGATGTAAGTATTGTAGAAATATGAATTATGAAAATTGTCAATCATGTACAATCTCACCATTCAAAAGACCAGTCTTTTGAATTATCACCGAGCTTCATAAGAACATCAAATATAAATAAAATTTTATTCACACGACAAAGTTGAATTCGATTCCTTCGTTCCGTTAAAAAGTATTGTATGGAATGCCTACCCCGCACTTATCATTTTTTTTTGTTACTGTTATGGGTTCTTTTATTCCCTCAGAATTCTTTCCTAAACCTTGACCTTGAGACCAGCCATATTTTTTTAATTGTGCTTCAGCAAAATCCTCTTTCATTTTAAGCATGAGAAAAAAAATTTTTATCAGCCAAAAATCCTATATGCATCAAAAATGTAGCTTTAGCGATCTCTGATGCACAATATATCAACCAATCATATTCAACTAGGTGATCTACATCGAGTTTTTTTTACCCCACGCGCTTCACATAATTACTGCGTGTTAAAATGTTTATCTTAGCAGTCTTGAGGGACACTATTCATATTCAACCGTATGATTTTCATAAACCCAAATTCGATGCGTTAACTGACGAAATCAATCGCATATATGCAAATAAGGTACTACCAAGAATTTCTGCAAATTATTTTTAAGATTCTTTGCTAAACAACACGAACAAAGGTTATTCAAGATGTAGGCCTTTGTATATGCTTATTCGAAATAATATCTGCAAGTGAAGAAATTGTCCATTATGGTGATGGCGCGAGCTATGCGAAAGGTATTTGCTGCTTCTATAAATTCCTGACTTCTAAATTTCATAGTTCAAAAATGGTGTAGTTGACATTCTTTCTTAATTTATAGTAACTTTTCGATTAGTTGTGTTCCGTCCATTTATTGGTGAAATAATTGAAGGAACCGTATCTAGTAATACGTTTGAAGGTGTCAAAGGTAAAAAATAAAAAATAACCAGTTGCTTGATTATTTTTACGAATGTAGATTGATTAGATTTTCGTTTATATGGACAGTGACTTTAGGCTATTTTGATGATATATTAATTCCTACACACAATGATGACGGATGGAAGTTGTAAGTCAGTTAATTTATTCTCTCTACACAGATAAATCATATAAATCATAAGTCATTAAGTATAATCTTGTTTGCTTTGAAATTTATCGAATTATTTTGAATCGATTGTTTAATTAATTATAAGTGATCACGAAACTCAAGTGTGGGTGCGTTTGTGGGATAGTCAAATTCCAGAGGAAAACTGGACAACACCCGAAGATAAGTATCTATATATGTATATGGATAAAGATACTACTATTAGATTTCGTGTCATAGAAGAAAAATTTACTGATGTTGGGACAAAAGGTCCGCCACCAAAAAGGACAGGTGCTGTAGCGGGTCAAAAAGTTCCAATGCCATCATCATCTTCTTTACCATCAGACGTTATGATTGTAGGTAATAATCGTGGTGGAAGTATCCAAAATGTAAATACTGATACTACTATAAATGCTCCAACCGGAGGCAAATTGGTTCCGTATGAATTGTTTGGTTCAATCGCTGAAGTGGGAAATGGGATTAAAAAATAGTCGGCTCTGTAGATAAAATAAAATAATAATTGTGAAGTTATCCATTGTTGTAGCTGGATATAATATACCGAATGAACTATCATAGACAAGTTCAGTTTGAAGACAATTAGTTTACAGTTTATTTTACAGACAGTTATTTTATAAACAATTTTGGATAATTTGATTATCAACATAATGTCAATCATTTTGGTAATTAAACAAGCGTTGTTACTTTAAAAGCGAACCCAATAGATATAGTTTTATTTGTGCGAGTCTGCTGGTTCAAGAGTTATTACAATTTGAATTTATAAGTTTTACTATTTACGCCTATCGATATTCATGCAGCAATAACGAAAATAAAAAAATTGAACTAGTTTCTTTTCTAACAATGCTTGCGCATCACGATCAGTTTCTGTATCCCATTCGGCCTTTCGTGTAGCGATATCCTGAGATATTGACGATATGGCAGACTTACTTGCGGAAAAGGTGACACTAATATTATCCGTGTATCATTCGGCCTTTCGTGTAGCGATATCCTGAGATATTGACGATATGGCAGACTTACTTGCGGAAAAGGTGACACTAATATTATCCGTGTATTTTCCTTTTTTTGTACCTTGTACAAAAGGATGTGAAGGATCTAATTTGCGTTCTTTTGTTACTACTGCTGAACCTTCAGCAATTTCTGAGGGTGCATCAGGTGTAGGGATGGGTTCGGTCACGAACCCATCCCTAATCAGGTGACAGTGATTTCTTGCGCTTACGTACGTTTTTACCAAGGTTATTTTTCTTGAAGTAACATTTCTGTATCTTCGGTCAAAGGAGTAATTGAATCATCAGGCATTTTTTTTTATATTAGCGTTTGAATTAGAATTATTAAGGTTTTATCTGTAATAAAATTTATCTTAACGGACTTTCGCCAATTTTTGCGGGTCATTTCATGCCGTGACAACGTGACAAGGAAATTTCATCCAATCAGAGATATGTCATTAAGACAGATCGATAGCAGGAGTACCGAAAAATTAATTGTTATTATGCAAATTTCAATCAACTAAAAATTGTTAAAGTTTGCTATAATATAATACTGTAATATAAGGTTTCGACTTCGAAATACTCTATTTTGAAATCGAAAAAAATTAACCGCACCTAG